GATGGTACTTTTGGAATACTCTCCTCTTTCCTCCCTCCCTCCACCTTTATGCCAGAAATTGTAAGGTAGAAAGTGACTGGGAAAAAATAACAAAGGCAATATTCATGACACTTTAAGATGAGTTATGTGAGCTAATTAAAATTATTATCTTGAGAATTTTGTTCATATATTCAGTTGGGAGATAAGGATAAAAACAGTTTTTTTTTTCTATACATTTAGGAACCACTTCGTCCGTCGACCAGCTGTCAAAAACATGTGAACGGAATATTTCTAATACCATTTATCCTATTTTTTCAAATCGTCAGGTATTGTGAAAGTTGGGACTTACTCGGATCTATATTAATTTCATCTGACCAAATCCATAATTTTCACATTAAGTATGCGCAAATATATTTATCCAAGAAGTATCGATTTAAGCGAATTTCATCTTCCAGTTTCTCGTATTTAACGAATAAATTAAAGAACTTCTAATATACATACCGCTTTATTCAAAATCTCTTTCTGAACTTTCTTAAATATTCAGCAACAATTTATTCCTTCATTGTTAATTAATTATTAATTATTATTTTAAACATAAATATTTAAACGAATAAAAAATTATATATATTTTATACAGAAGTTATAAAAATAAATACAGTTTTATCACCATCCTGAAAAGTTGCCCAAATTGAAATAAGCCCTTTCGCTTTTAGAGTGAAGATATACTCTAGATTTTACAAATTAAGTTTTTATTATGCTCATTCTCCTCATCCTGCCCTCCTTATGTGGGGAACCCCGAACTCAGGAGACCATGCGGAGCCAAAGGTGGCGGATAGTGGACTTATACTCCCGGACGATGAGCGGCAGGCGCCAACAGAGCGGGGGAGGGTGGTCAATGGTGCGGCCATCCTCAAAAATACTCCAGAGAGCCCTATGACGGCGACTGTAACAAGGCGAGTGTGTGCCGCCTCTAAATATGCACAACCACTCCCCCATTACAGCGGGGACACCTAGAAGAAAAACCCGGATGGATAAGGCACGTTAGCTGTGACAGGCAACTTATCTAAGGGAAAGAGACCGCGACAGAAAACCTCTGGTCCTCCAGGTTGGAGGTTGTCAAGAGAGTATCACCTTACCAAAGTGCAAACTATATCTCCTTCCGGAGGACAGTGTTGGGAGGTTATACAGAAGCAGACTAGAGGGAAAAAAAGATCTGAGCCAGGGAAGCAATCTTTCGGAAAAATATGAACACTTTAGGGAATGCATCCACGCAGCAGCCTCGGAGGCTTTAGGTTATGATGGAAAGAAACAACAACCAGATTGGTGGTCTCAGGAGGTCTCGGATTTGGTGGAGGCCAAAAACGAGGCATATAAGAAGTACCTAGTGTCAAACAGTGAACAGGACTGGATTGCCTACAGAGCTCTGAACAAACGTGTAAAGGAGGAAGTTTTAAAGGAGAAGAATAACTCCTGGGAGAGATGTTGCATGAAAGTAGATGGGACACTGGGCTTCAATCGAGTGCGGGAAGCTTGGAATATTTTGAGGAGCATGAGGGCACCTCGTAAGGGCAATGTCATCTCTTCTTTCAGTGAGGACACATGGAAAAAGCATTATGAGACCCTCCTTAATGAAAGTAGAGCGTAGTTTATGGCACAAGAGGGCAACGCACAGGAAGACTGCAAGCCGGATGATATACAAGTATTGGAAGAAGAAGTGAGGGCTGCTATAGGCAGAGCTAAAAGCGGTACAGCTCCAGGACCTGGGGGCTTGAAAATGGAACTTTTAAAGACCGGTGGAGAAAAGATGCTTACACTCCTAACCAATGTGTCGAACATGGTCCTGTGAGGGTGTGATCTGCCTGACGATTTCCGAACAGGATACCTCTGCTCCATCTTTAAAAAAAGGAGATATGAAGCAATGCCAGAATTATCGCGGCATCTGTATACAGAGCTCAGTAAGTAGGATTGTGGGAATACTTGTCCGGGATAAGCTGGAAGGAGAGTACACCACACCGGTGGAACAAACTGGTTTCACTGCCGGGGACAACAGGGTTGTCCTGTATGGACAATATTTTTGTATTCCAGCAGCTGATTGAGAATTGCAGGGCGAAGAATAGGAAGCTTCATTTAGCCTTCATTGATCTATAGCAGGGATATGACAGTGTTCCTAGGGAAAGAATTTGGCTAGCACTGAAAAGAACAGGTATTAATGAATCCACTGTACAAGAAATTCAACACTTTTATGGAAGCGATCTGTACAGACTGAAGATTGGGAACCGCCTCTCGGAACCATTTTCTGGAACCAAAGGGCTGAAGCAGGGGTGTTGTATGTCCCCAAGCATTTTCAAGGTATACTTGGATGAGGTAGTGAAGCAATGGACGAAGATTGAAGTTGAAGTTTAATTTGAAGATTGAAGTTGAAGAAATTGAGACGATGTCGAGACTACGGAGTGTAATTTGACGACGACGAGCTCCTTACCCCCTGTTCTTCGCAGACGATCAAGTAATGATGGCACGGAAGAAAGTTTTCCTGGAGAGGGTTGTCCAATTAAAGAAAGTTTATGAAGAGGCAGGTCTCAGAATAAACTTCCTAAAGACTGGGAGATGAGGAAGACGACCTACGCATAGGTGAACAGGTATGTAGAAGAGTAAAAGCATTTAAATACCTCGGGTCCTATCTGGACGATGTTGGAACGTCCGAAGTGGATGTCCGAAACAAGGTCGAGATGGCAAGAAAAGCTACTAGAATGCTGCATCCTGTTCTCTGGAACGATACTATTTCAAACGCAAACAAGCGGCGTATCTTCACGGCTATTGTCGAATCCATATTAACCTACGGATGTGAGGCATGAATGCTGGCTTGTATGCCAAAATTTGGACTGTATAAATGGATTTTTGGAGACTTTGTCTACAGTTAGCGAGGCTGGACAGAATCCGAAATGAAGCGGTGAGAAAAAGAATAGGAGTAGAGGAGACCGTCTCTGAGAGGATCGGGGAACGGCGATTGAGGTGGTATGGACACTGCAGAAGAATGTCGGAAGAGCATTGGCCGAACAGAGTCCTGGACTGGCAGCCACTCGGAAAGGCGAGGAAGACCAAAAACCACGTGGATGGAAGGAGTCCGAGAAGAGATGGCCGGCCAAGTTCTACAGGAGGGGGACCTGGGAGGATAGAGACGTGTGGAGCTCTGCTCTGACCTGAAGAGGTATCCAACGTTGGAACACCGGAAATAAGTATAAGTAAGTATTATACTCATTAAATAATTGTAAGCATTTTATATACACTGATCATTAATAGCAGTTTTAAAACCAAGTTTGCACTGGTTTGATATTCTTTTTATTATTAGTCCCTTTTTGTTGAATTATTAACATCGTGACCAATAACTATTTTTTTACTAAGACTCTTTCGGTGTTTTCAATCTGGAGAGAGGCAAAAATTTGTCTATTTAATTAGGTACTAAAAACTCGTTAATACCCATTTACTTTCTACTTGAATTACAAGATAATTTGATCAGAAAATCGATAAAAAATGTGGCCTTTCAAAAATATTGAGCGGTTTGGCGTGACCTGCAACCCCAAATTTTCAAAATAACGAGGTTATATTGGACATACGGCCCTATATTTGTTTGTAGCCCACATGTTTTATCGATTTCGTAATCAAATTGTCTTACGATCAGATTAGAAAGCAAATGGGTATTTACGAGTTTTTAGTAACTAATTAAATCGACAATGTTTGCCTCCATCCAGATTGAAAACGCCCCAATTCCAAGAGTTTTCGTAAATATAAGAGTTTTAGGTTAATATAATATGAAACTATTTACAAAGTTTCAGGCGAATGTTAATAACTCGATAAAAAGGGGTCTGTAAGACGGACTATATTCAATTACCTACTTTTTTCGGAAATAGATTTATTTTTACATCACTTTTTTGAAATTGTTTTTAATGTTCGTTTTTGTAAAAACATAATTACACCATAAAATTCACTGGGTGTTTTTACATGAGAATTGATACTTGTCTCGATTTTCATAAAAATAATAAAAAGTAATTAAAATTAAATTAATTAAAAAAGTAACGGGAAATTAGCTTTTTTTTATGAACTGATATATGGTCATAAAGATATCGTATTTTTGTATGACGAGTTTGTAATGATTTTCCAAAACAGATAATTATTTTAAAACAGTTTTTAATTCGTCATTAAATTCATTTCCATGATTTGCACAGGAAAACAGCATCATTTTTGTAAACGTAATTTTTGCGGGCTAAACCCAAAATGGATACTAATTTAAGACCCTCGGTGAGATTTGAGAGAAAAAAGTTGTTATACATGTAACGGAAACAAACTTTTAAAATAACTGATATAAAATGAATGATTTAATAATGCAGGTGGCTAAAGCACTCTTACTCAATCTCCACTGGGTTTAGCCCCAATGACGCAGTTGAGAGAAAAGTGCAGGGCTCTCCTAGAGTCATGCTTTTCCCTCCACAGTTGGAAGGACAAATTTGGTTCGGAGTTCTTTTACCTGATTGTAAATAGTATATGTAGGTATGTTTGTGTTCGTTTTTATTTATTTATTTTTTAGGTTATTTTATACTTTTTTTTATTGTATATATATATTATTATTATTGTACATAGAGTGTGACATTAACGCCGCATAGACACATACCTTTAATTTTTTCATTATTATTTTTCTCACCATTTACCCCTTTTTAATTGTTATCAAGAAAATGTTTATTTATGTTTTTTGGTAAAAAACTAAGGGACAATTGTCTCAAAAGTGTATTTAACTTTATTGTATGTGTATATTTGGCTTCGTTTGCGATGTGTTATCGCGTTTGTGTATACGCTCCAGCCCGGCAGTAATATCCTGTCTTAGGGATTAAGACACAAATACTGCGATAATACTGTTGGGTCCTCAGTCTGGAGCTGGCCTTTGATGACACTGGATCCGCGTAGTGGACGCCTACCCCCACCTTCTGCTCCAGGTTCACCTCGACTCACCAGTGTAGCGCCATTTTCGAAGATCAGCTGTTGGGCGCAGCTGAGTAATCGATCGAGATCGATACCATCCCACCATCGATTACTTTACAGCTAGATATCGGAAGGTAACAGGTTGGAAGCAGAACCTCCAACTTGGCTCATTTTGTTTTATATTCTCACCATCACCAAGACATTTAAATATTAATTTGAATTGTTTTCTTAGCTAAATTAGTTATTCTTTTTGGACAGTTATTTTTTTCTCTTGTTTTCTCTATAATTTTTTTATGTTAAGTTTATTTATATTTTGTTATTGATGGTTAATTTTGTTTTATTTTCACTGGATATTGTATTTATCTTTTATTTTTCCCGTAACTTTCCAGTATGGTTCGTTTCAAATTTTGTATAAATTTATAAATCTTTTATCTCAATAAATTGTAAACATTAAAAAGGGGGAATTTTATTTTACATTTTTTAACTTATTGAAGTATTTTATTTTTTAATGTTTTGATGAGCATGCATTTTCCTCGTTTTCACAGGTCTCATTTTTACTCTTTTTATTTTTTCCTTCTTTCCCAAAATTTAATTTTTCTCGACTGTTCTCACCTTTGAGGAACCTCACCGGGGAAAGATTTGTACTTTGATATTGAAGCACCCCTGGCCCCAACAGTGTGAATGTGATATCTGAACACTGTTATAAATGTCTTTTGAGACATATTGTAATATTTTCAATAAACAATAAAAAATATTTAAAAATAATGCAGATATATATCAACGTCTACTAAAATAGTTCATAAGTTATATAAATATCATCTTTGGTCAGTTCCTATATATGCTTCACTACATTGGTTTGGACATTATCTCTAAACATTAACCAAAAGGATGAGAAACTGCTTTCAATATAATTCTATCGAGGACAGTTCTCCTTCTTTGTCCCGCAGCAAACGGACCATCGATATCAGAAGATAATTTATGTGCGATTGAACAGGAGCGTACAAAAGGACTTTCAGTATCCGGTCGAGGGAACAAGAGCTGGTTGAGCAACCGGCCAATAGGCAAGGACAATGGAATGGACACACATTAGCGCTGACGGTGCTCGGCCAATGGTGGCTCAGCCACTGGAGGCTACTAATACAATCAATTCCAATAATTGTTTGAACATAAGTCTAGAATTATGACTTCCATATGGGATAAATGCATGGGATACTATAATGAAACATAGAAATACTTAAAATATTCAATAGCGCTCAATAACTGATAATTGTGAATCATTTATTATAATAATTATTTTAAATATATGTGCTGCCTTTTTTGTATTATTTTTTAATTAAAACTAATCTTTTAACTTATAAATAATTCAATTATTTATAAGTCTTCAAGTCAAGAATTCAATTATTCAAAAGTCAAGTCAAGTCGTCAAGAATTCAATTATTCAAAAGTCTCGATCATAAACCTCTATTTAATCTTCTCACTTCCATTTATACTTTCTTTTACTTCTCCTTTTATATATATATATATATATATATATATATATATATATATATATATATATATATTATATATATATATATATATATATATATATATATATATATAGATTTATTATATATATTGTTATTTATTATATATATATATATATATATAGGTTTATATTTATTATATATATATATATTTATTAAAATATATATATTTATTTAAATATATTTATTAAAATTTATATATATATATATAAATTTATTATATATATATTTATTATATATATGGTTATTTTTACTAGAACTTTTTTTTGACACTGCTAACTAGAATTTTTGACACTGCCAGTGTTTCAACCGCCTCCCGCAGTGCCACATCCAACGGTATGTTTTGACTTTTATTGAGATTCCTTTCTTAACACACCTATCCTTCAACTATACACCTTATTATTATCTTCATATAGCCTACCATTCCATTACCGCTTTCAAAAAACTAAATGTCAATTGTCATCTATATATAGTACAACCTGTTTTTTGTTTCTTTATCATCATAACCTTGTTTTTACATTTATTCTTACATTTTAAAGTATTCTTTTAAAATTATTGTTTTCTTATAGAGTTATTTATACTTAATAATCTATCCCAACAATATTACACTAATGTTACCCTATTAATCTTTCAATTTCTTCACTTCTTAACCTTTGGTCCCGTTATCTGTTTATTTACAATTAAAGGTAACCTCCACTTGCTTGTTATCCACTGATATCTTATTATTATGTTATCTTATCCATATTTTAACTTTACTGTAACAATAGTTATTCAATTTTCAATCAATTTATTCGTTAACATTCATTTATTCGTTAACATTCATGTATTTATTTTCTTTTATCTATTTTCTTATCATGTATTTATTTTCTTTATCTTTTATTTCTGTATCTGACAACTTCTTCGTAATTTATATATACTTATATTTATTTTTTATTTTATTTTTATTTTTTCAACATGTTTGTATCTTTTGTAGCCCTGAAGACGACCTGCAAAGTGGGTCGAAACGTCGGCAAAAATTAAAATTATTTATATATTTTAATTTTTTTTTTTTTTTTTTGACCGCACCCTCGACTAATTCCTTCTCATATCATATCAACGGTCAACCAACTCTACATCATTATAAATAATTCATATGCCCACCCAAGGGTATGATACTCCCTTAATTAGGAGAGCTAATATTTAAATTTGATTAGAATTCTTCGGCAGACGAAAAAGCTGCAACAAATAATTTATGTAAAATAATTAATAGCTAAATTGTTAATCGGTATTGTTAGTTATAGGAGATTTGATCCGGAAAATTAATAGCAAAGATATGGTCTCCAGTTCTGTTTATTTTATATATATTCTACTCCAAATGTTATATCCTTTGTTTGGTTTTTAAATTTTGAATGTGTTACTGAAGTAATGCTAATTGTTTTAGCATATTACTTATTTATTTTTTTTTAGTTTCGTTATTGAATATCAATACATTCTACTACATTGAAGGGCATTAATATTAAGGCTACATGTTTCATTCAAATAATATGTACATACAATTAATATTTCAATAATAAAGAAAAAGAAATATAAAAAAATAAAATAAGTAAATTGATATGCCTGTGTACAAAAAAAAAAAAATTATAGATAAAAAATAAATTAAATTAAAGTGAATAAATCACATTCACACCTATGCAAAATATTTACATTCATGCCTATTCCCCCGATGTGGAAGCCAAGGCAGGACTCCAAGAGATCCCAGTGCTTCTCTCTCATCCGCGTCACTGTTATTTGAAACCAGTGGAATCTGATGGAGGATGCTACAGCAACAGACGCTCATGTCTAGCATATTACTAATGATTAAAAAAAAAAGTTTAGTCAAATAATTGGAATCACCTTTTATTTATTTTTCTTTGTAACTAGAAAGGTAATGTTACTTCAGATGTATAATTGTTTGGAAATAATAAAGCATTGTAAAATAATTTGCAGCGTTTTTTTATATGTTCTGCTGCAAACGTTATATCTTTTGTTTTTGCTTTAGAATTTTGAATGTGTTACTGAAGTAATGTTTTAGCATTTACTAATGATTACAAAAAAAAGTTTAGTCAAATAATTGGAATCACCTTTTATTTATTTTTCTTTGTCACTAGGAAGGTAATGTTACATGTCAAGGTTTACTTAGCATTTTATTATCTTGAATAATTTTTGAGCAATTCCTTCATATTCAATAAAACAATATGACACACAGAATTGGTCTCAACTCCTTTTCCGTTCGGAATCGGCCAATGCATCAAATGAACTTTTTTTGTTGGAAATTGTAACTAGAATTACTCCCCAGACTTTGACCATTAAGAATTTAATTAAGAACCTGTCGTTTTTCGAATTCTACGCAATCTGAAACGTAAAACTTCAAATTTTGAGAGGAGGTTACGTTTTTGGTCGATCACAATGATTCATTATTGAAAATAATAAACCAAAAAATGTGACCACACGAAATTGATCTTAAGTCATTTTCCGTTCGGAATCGGTCCATGCATCAAATGAACTTTTTTGGTGGAAATTTGGTCTAGAATCATCCTTAGAGATTAGCTATTAAGAACTGAGACACTCTGTATATATATATATATATATATATATATATATATATATATATATATTATATATATATATATATATATATATATATATATATATATATATATATATATATATATATATATATAATATAATATAGTGTATATATAATGCGCGTTTTTACTTGATGTTGATAAGGAATGATAACTGCACGTGTCTTGATGGTTTTCGATCTTCTAGTAGTGTTTCGTCTGGAACTGCAAAGAGACAACCAGATCCTATTTATGATTTATAAACGATAGGCCGCAAGCCTGGCTTTCCAAGGAACTTGTTATGTCCTTTGAGGTTGATACTGCTAGTTTTCGATTGGTCTCATAATATTTACAAATACACAATACAATTTGGTTTCTATTTATTATTTATACATATATATGTGATATTTTGATTCACTTTATAATAGAGGCGTATAATTTACAAAAAAAAAAAAAAAGGCGAAATTATTTGACATTTTTCAAAACAATTTTTACAGTTAAACATTTTATCATCAAGTGAAAATGATTCACATTACTAGTTAGCTAATTACTATTTTGATTTTTTCATTCCTCATTTTTATATTTGCTTTATGAATATTAAAAGTTATTAAAACTTGTTTACACATAAAAGTTAAAAGAATGTATCTCTAATGGTTACTATACGGACAAGGTGAAACAAAGGAACAAGGTGATTTATTATTTTCAATAATGAATCATTGTGATCGACCAAAAACGTAACCTCCTCTCAAAATTTGAAGTTTTACGTTTCAGATTGCGTAGAATTCGAAAAACGACAGGTTCTTAATTAAATTCTTAATGGTCAAAGTCTGGGGAGTAATTCTAGATACAATTTCCAACAAAAAAGTTCATTTGATGCATTGGCCGATTCCGAACGGAAAAGGAGTTGAGACCAATTCTGTGTGTCATATTGTTTTATTGAATATGAAGGAATTGCTCAAAAATTATTCAAGATAATAAAATGCTAAGTAAACCTTGACATGTAACATTACCTTCCTAGTGACAAAGATTAAAGATTTTTGTAAAGCAGAAGCTAAATATAATCTTTTTGTAAAATAATGTGGCACCCATGTTAAACTATTTAAAGAAATATAAATAAAACTTCTAAATTTATTGTTATTAGAGCAAACATTTATGCCATGAGTTTTTGTTGATTACGTTACCGTAAATAGAGAGTCATCCACCATTAGACATAAAATAGAAAAATGTTATATATGAATGTATGATAAAATCTTATTTAAGGGAGCTAAAATAATATTAATGTCCTATATAATATAATCCCCTTGCTATTTTCAGGAGTTCCGGAATGAGCTGCTGCATTCTGAAAAGTAACTTCAAGTCTTCACAAGAAGGCAAACATGAAAATAGATGTTTTTCCTGCTTCAACGCACTTTCATGATAATTGAAATTCGTGCTAATTGAGAACATTTGATCAGCAAATAGAATGTTGATTGTAACATGATATTAATTGGAGTGGATACATCTGTAACGTTACACTGATTACTTACAACGTCGTCGCCCACCTGCACTCAATTTAGGATACAATATGTCTGCAAAAATGACAAATGTTTGATTTTAGGTATTTTATGGATGTTTCTGACAGGAATTGAACTATTCCAAGAATGCAATAACGGATCTTTCGCCTGGGATGATTTTCCTTGCTGTACATAGAAATTTTCTAAGCGAAAGGGAAGTCCCCAAGGATTATAAATTGGAGATTTGGGGACGTTTCTTTCCTCATACCAAATTACTCCTCTGAAACAGGGTGAATAATTAATAAGCATAGAAGCGAAATACAAGAATTTAAAATGAGATTTTTAAGATAACAGGGAAAGTCAGAGGAGAAAGAATCCGTAACTTACAAATCCAGGTTGCTATCGTTAGGTCAAACCTCGGGGTATAGAGTGAGCAAGAAAGGCCGTTAAAGAGCGCTGTCCAAGGTGGTTTGGAGATATTTTATGAAATTAGAACAATCATATTGTGGGGAAGAAATATGAAATATGAGGCGAAGATTGGTGGAAAAAGACAAACTGTATTGCTTTAGTTAATATCAAACTCGGGCAGTATTACAAATACATTATTTTAATATATATATTTTTTAATTCTTTTTTTTAAGAAATAAAATATAAAATAAACAGTTTATAACTGTATTTTCTTTTTCAAACCCAAAAATGTATTTTTATTTCACTTCCAAGATACTATTGAGTGTCCGGAAAATAATAAAGGATTTTGGTTTAAAAAAAAAAAAGAAAGAAATATTTACAACCTTTTTATTTAATCAAAACAGTCTCCGCTGCTACCAATTCATTTCTGCCAACGTGTTGGCAACTTTTCCATATCCTCGGAATAAAATATCCCATCTTTAGAATTGATTTTTTTTCTCTAGAAATGTATTTACGCCTGTCAACTTATTGTTAACAATCAGGAAATAATGACGGCAGGCGTGGGGAAGGAAATTACTCAGCAGTACCTCTTCCCTAAATTGTTCCAATTACTTAGGTTGTTTAAGGAAGGAGATCTCTCATACAACGCTTTTTTAGTCTCATCCGCATGTTCTGAGGTATGTCAGCTGTGGACATTTCTCTTATTAGTATCTTATTATGGCCGTTTAAAGTAATGTAAAATCGTTGATAAAGGATCGTTATATGTTGATCAACTGTAGGAAGGTGGAGGTCAGTATGTAGAGTTTTGTTAGTCACGTACCAAGGTGCAGTTGTTATGAGTCGCAATAATTTTGATTGGAGGTTTAAAGTTTTTGTAGCTGTCTTTTTAGCGATACCGTATATTTATGATGAGAACTTCCATATGGATTTAAGTAAGTATATATATATATATATATATATATATATATATATATATATATATATATATATATATATATATATATATATATGTATTTCGGCAAAGAAGTGTAGCACAAACCTCATAATTTTTGGCGACCACATGTCAATCAAGCGAGGAAGTTCTTCCACGACCTTCTTTGTTTCCAAGGCTGAGGTCTCCCTCCCAAATTTGTTCGATGCACTGTTGAACAGTGCACTCATTAATGCTGCTCTCGCCCTTGACTTGATTGATGTTTCCGGCCGTCTATGCCTTACTCCGGCCAAGTTTAAACTCGCAAAACAAATTTATACGAAAATCATACATCGGCATCTTAGTAAAGACTGAATTATTTCTAAGCAGCGAAATTCTACAGAGGTAAATAAACATTATCGTTTGGAAGAGGATTAATAAGTTTTGACATTCATACAAATGAATAATCCGTTAAACGTAAACAGTTTGTTATATAGAGGGGTATTTTAAAGAAAACTCAAATGCCCGCATTATTTTCCGGACAACCCAATAAAACCAAAAACTGTATTTTATTTTGTATTTTAAATACACAAAATATATTACCAAATAGACTAGCTTCTATTATATGATATAATTATATTAATTCTTCTATTATATTAGATTATATGATATAATACAAGGAATTTTATGTTAATCGTTCCATAATTTATATGGTGATCATACACAATGAAGTATTTTTATTTATATTTTGTAGTTTTTTAATTAAAATACAAAATAATTTTAGTAATGTATTTTGTATTTGAAACAATTTTTTTATAGACATATTTAAAGTTATATATTTTTTTAAAAAATTGGTAGGAACCGGTAAGACACATATTTTTTTCTTGGTTACTTATGATATGATTTTTTTTTTTTTTTTTGTGATCTGGGATATACTAATATTGCTAATACAGCAATTGTTTCTATTAAATACATTGAAAATCTAACACCTTCAATGTCAAATGTTGATTCTGTTATTATTCTTTCAAAACAGTAAAGATCCCGAGGATCGAAATATCAATATATTTGTTTTCATATAAGGAATTACTATTTAAATATATTTTAATATATTTACTCTCATCACAGCATTAAGAAAGACTCTAATAATTAGAAATCACTGTACAGAATATATAGGTTTTAAAATAATGTCGGGTCTCAATTTCGAACCCTGAGAATATCATTTGAAAGAAGGTATCTTAATAAAGTTTTCCGAATGGAGCTCGAATTGGTACTAAGAGCAAGGGGATGCGGTTGAGAGATGTCATCGAGTGGAATAACGCTGACTGATTAATTGGAGACACGTCGCAGACGACAGAGACAGATGGAGTAATTTCGCGAAGGCGGGACTAGATCCTCTATCACCTAGGTCTAGGTGAGCAGCAATGAAGCGATACGATTATAACTGTGCTCAGTAGTTCAGCTTAGAATAGCCCAATTTCTTGGAGTATGATCTATGACTATCAATAATTTACCTCATAGACATTATACATTAACCATTGGAGTGAATATATGATATGGTACATAGGTGAGGAAGCTGCGGCCTTTAGGCCGTTAGTGGCTTCCAAGCGCCAAAAAAAGGATATTTATTAATTTAGCCCTAGAATTAATAATTTATATTTAATTATTTAGATTATGAAAATTACTAAACAACAAGTTGACAGGCGCCAATTAATCTTTTATAGCCTACAAAATGTGAATCTGAAAAGTTTCCGACCTCAACATAAAGACAGCAGAACTCGTATAGAAAGGCTAGTGAATTTCGTTGTTCATCTATTGATAGTTACCCATCAAAGTTTCATTTTGGATGCGCAGTTTTTATGTAACAGTCGTTTGAGTGAGTTGATGTGAGTGTTTTTGTGAAAATGGACAAAATCGAGTATAGAGCTGTCATTAAATATCTGTTTTTTGAAGGCAATACGCTACGCAAATCAAAGATGAGTTGGATTCTGTGTATGAGGATTCTGCACTGTCATTTACCACAGCTAAATTTTGGGCAGCTGAATTTAACGATGGCCGTAATAGCTTGGGAGACGATGAACGTTCAGGACGTCCAAAAAGAGCAATACCGAAGAAAACATCGCCAAAGTTCATCAAATGGTGTTAGACGACCGCCGAATTAAAGTTAGAAAGATAGCGGAAGCTATATACATGACAAAAGAATGTGTTTGTTCCATATTAAATCAACATTTAGATATGAGAATGCTATTCGCACGTTGGGTGCCGATTTTTTTCACGCTAGACCAAAAATGTGTTCGAATGAACATTTCCAACTCTGTTGGCGCAGTTTAGGCGCAATATATTCGAGTTTTGGTGCCGATTAATTACTGTAGATGAAACTTGGATACACCATTATACACTAGAAAGAAAAATACAGTCCAAACAGTGGAAAAATACAGAAACGTATGATTCTGTGTTTTCTGAGACGAGTTTTTTTAGCATGCTAACACAATCTCTCACAACATCGGTACCAAGCATGTTAGTGACAACCCTAAGAAAACTACGTTGCAGGTCTCCATTACTTAAACCCGAGCCTTCCTGAAGAAGCCGACTAGAAGCACTCATTAAAGAGAGAAGGATTACTAGATCTCAGACCGAATCTCAAAATAAGAATTCATTAGGATCTAAAACAATGCAATGAAATCCTGGAGGCGCAATGCCGGCATACTTCCATAAGAAGTTCCTTCCCACCCATCGTTCATGTATAAAAGCTCGAACTACTCGGAGTTTTCATGAGAATTTTCGATCTTACCTTTATATCTTTGGAAAGGATATTAACCTATGACTTGGCTGAAGAGTTCTGGAGGGAACGACTTAAACTGCACCGAATTCGATACACGAAGGCTCAAATCGGATTCTTCCGTTTTTTACAGAGAACGATTTTCTTTAGATGGTAACTAACTACTCGTACTACTACAATTTATGATATTGATGGAAAACTGCACTGGGATCAGCATATTCTAGCCTTATATGGAGACTAAGCTCTTGAAATGGCGTAGAATACATGTGTTACAGAAGACCGAGGCAAATTCTGGAGGCTAGGAAGGAAATTCATTACATAGAACGAGTTCAATTTAGGAAATACCCGTTTTAAGAAGTATTACATGAAGAACTTTATTGGTTACAAAAATGGATAACCAATATTATATGGTAATATTGCCGAAACCCTTGTCGGAGAGCAGAAAAGGGTAATGGGTGGGATGGCCGAACGTGCTAACGCCTGTGCACAGCACCATCGTTGCCCATCAACATGATCTACGATACAATGGATTTACAATAGTTATGAGTTCGCGTCCCGGTGCGGGGGGAGTCTTTTAAGCCCCTGCCCACACGAGGAAAGGGTGGAACCAGAAAAAAAAAGTCTGAGTATTAAACATCTATAAACAGTTAAGTTCTTTAAAAAATAAAGCTGGACTTTCAGATTGGTTATTTCAGGTTTGTGGGTTCAAAATGAAAAGTTTTATGAATAGAACGATTGATAATGATGTCGATATCAAATATTAATATTTTTTGTAGAGTTGTCATTACCACAATAATTTTTTTTTTTCAAACTTAATAAATAAAATTATAATAATTATATTATTCCATTTAATTTCAAA